TGATAAGTAGCCCCAGGCCTGGCACTATCAGGAGCCAGCCTTGGTTCACCTCCAAGGTGAACCAGCTTGGCCTTGCTTGAGCACCTCCAAGTAGCAGACATATGCAGATTGCTTTGCAGTTCGTGCCAACTGACCCCGGGCAGAACACAGGTGGTGGCTAACCTTGACCTGACCTCCCAGGAAGCTCCAGAGCCAGCACACCCGGTGGACAGCTTCAGATCACATTGAAGCACCACTCAACCACCTTCACAAGCAGCTCACTGAAGGGGTGGACTGAGCGGGCACCAGAGTTCTGCTAAAGTCCTACTCTGTGGGGTGGGCCCCTGCATAGCTGATCCTCCAGAGTGGTCCTTGGGTTGCAGCCAGTCCTTACAAATGATCGGCCTGGGGGTAAATCCCTCCCATTGACATATCAACAACAATCAAGGCTCAACTACAGCAAGAGAGGTGTACACAGCCTACATGTGGGGAGGCACACCTGGAATGCCCAGCTTGGATGATTGGAAAAGCTGTGCCACTGGCCCCTATAGACCACTTGCTACATTAGGCCACTCTACCAAGCCCAGGAGATGTAGCAGCTCTACCTAATATATAGACACAAACACCTCCTGGGGAAGACTGCCTAAATGAGGAAACAAAGAAACATGTCCCAAATAAAAGAGCAGAACAAAACTCCAGAAAAGAACTAAACAAAATGCCTGGCTTGTGTGGCTCAGTGGATTGAGTACCAGCTTGTGAACCAAAGGGTCGCTGGTTCGAGTCGGTGGTTTGATTTCCAGTCAGGGCACATACCTGGGTTTTGGGCCAAGTCCCTAGCAAGCAGCACGTGAGAGGCAACCACACATTGACGTTTCTCTTCCTCTCTTTCTCCCTGCCCCCTCTCTAAAAATAAATAAATGTAAACAAATAAAATCAAGAAAAAGGAGACAATCTACCAGATGCAAAGTTCAAAACACTAGTTATAAGAACGCTCAGTGAACTTAGTGAGAACTTCAACACCATAAAAAAGGACATGGAAACCATAAAAACCAGTCATAAATAAAGACTACACTAACTGAAACACTAACTGAAATGAAGAATAACTTAACAGGGAATCAATCATACAGCAGATGAACCTGAGAATCAAATCAGTGATCTGGAATATAAGAAAGCAAAAAACACCCAATTAGAACAGAAAAAGGAATCCAAAACATGAGGATAGTGTAATGAGCCTCTGGGACAACTTCAAGTGTACCAACAGCCACATCATGGGGGTGGCAGAAGGAGAAGAGTGAGAGCAAGAAATTGAAAACCTATTGAGAAAAATAATGACAGAAAACTTCCCTAACCTGGTGAAGGAAATAGACATACAGGAAGTGTGGAAAGTCCCAAATGAGATGAACCCAAAGAGGCCCACACCAAAACACATCACAATTAAAGTGCAAAAGGTTAAAGACAAAGATAAAATATTAAAAGCAGTAAGAAAAAAGCAGTTAGTTAACTACAAGGGGGCTCCCATAAGACCGTCAGCTGATTTCTCAACAGAAATTTTGCAGGCCTGAAGGGATTGGCAAGAAATATTCAAAGTGATGGAAAGCAAGGACATACAACCAAGATTACTCTACCCAGCAAAGATATCAGTTAGAATGGAAGGTCATATAAAGAGCTTCCCAGACAAGAAAAAGCTAAAGGAGTTCATCACTACCAAACCAGTATTACATAAGATGCTAAAGGGTCTGCTTTAAGAAGAAGAATTTTTAAAAAGATAAAAATATATAAACAATAAGATGACCATAAATGCATGTCTATCAACAATTGAATCTAAAAAACAAAGCAAGTGAACAAGCAGAACAGAAACAGACTCATAGATACAGAGAATGACTTGACAGTTGCCAGATGGGAGGGGGGCTTAAGGGGATGGGTGTAAAAGGTGAAAGGATTAAGAAGTACTAATTGGTTGTTACAGACTAGTCATGGGATGTAAATTACAGCATAGGGAATACAGTCAATCATACTTTAATAATTATGTATGTTGTCAGGTGGGTATGAGATTTATGGAGATGATCACTTAATAAGTTATATAATGTCTAATCAATGGACTGCACACCTGAAACTAATATAATATTGTATGTCAACTGTAATTGAAAAATAAAAATGATTTAAATTAAAATATAATGTAATGTGATTCAATATATACTGATATACATATAGTGTGGGGCAAAAGTAGGTTTACAGTTGTTCATACAGAAAACAATACAAGAATGAAATAATAATATAAGAGTAAACGCTGTTTCATGCACTCACAACTGTAAACCTACTTTTTCCCCACTCTGTATTATTTATAATCACAAAAATATGTTCAGCATTATTCTAAGCACTTGACATGAATCATCTCATTGAATCCTTACATACATGAATCCTATGGTGTATGAGCTATTTTCATCCCCATTTCACAGATGAAGAAAATGACACACAGAGAGGCTGGAAAACTTCCCCCAAATTGCAAACTAAGGCAGTCTAACCCCAGTGTCTCACTTCTCACTGATCAGCGCACTTGTTGCCTTCCCCATGGTGTGGTCCTGCAAGATGGTTCTGGGTTTTTTCCTAGGGCTTCCTTGGCCTTCACTTTCATTATTCTTCTGCCACTGGCTGCATTTTAGAGGTTTGCCCTCCCTACCCCATGGCAATAAGGAGTGGGTAAGTCACTTGGCTACAGTGTTGGAAAGAAGAGATGGTCCTGGAAAGGGTAGTCCATGTCAATGCACTTTGAGTAGGTTTCCAATAGGAAGGATGAATGTTCTCTGATCCATCTATATATTTTACCTTGTTGTAATAAAAGCATGATTTTGGATGGCTGACTTGGTTAGGTAATGTGGTAGGCAGAATAACTGCCCACAAGGTACCCAAGCCCAATTCCTGAACTTGTGAATATGTTTCTTCAAATGGCAAAAAGGACTTTGCTGATGTGATTAAGTTAAAGGTTTTATTATTTTTTATTTGTATTTTGCAATTGATTCATGGTGCTGCAAGTCGGTACATTCTAGTTTTTGCTTGAGTTAACCTTTCTCTGGATTAAGCCAATTCCATTGGTTACTTTCAAAGGATAATACAAAAATTTCAGGCCATTCTTTCAGATTTAATAAATTTTTGCTCTCCAGAAAAAAGAGGGATATATAGTTTTATTTTTAAAATATATTTTTGTACCTTTTTCCATTACCATTTATCCCTACTATACCCTCTTCCACCTCCTTATTATTATTTTTTATCCTCACCCAAGGATATTTTTTCATTGCTTTTAGAGAGAGAAAGGTATAGAAACATTAATGTGAGAGAGAAATATTGATTGGTTGTCTCCCACACATGCTGTGGACTGGGGATCTAACCCATGATCTACGTATGTGCCCCAACTGGGAACTGAACCTGCAACCTTGGTTACCTGAAGATGCTCCAACCAACTGAGCCACACTTGCCAGGGCAAGGGAGGTATATAGTTTTAGAGAGGGTATATAGATAATACCTTTTTAGAAAACTAATGTCAGGATTAAAAAAAAATTTTTTGACATGTAAAATTCTAGAATCTTGGTTGCCCCATCTAATTCCTAATCAGAACTATGCAGGTGGCAATAAGGAGTATGTGAATCTAGGAGCCACAAGAAGTCCTATTATCAGATCCCAAAAGCTATGTACAAACATGTTTCAGGATCAGATGCTAGAAAAGATTTTAAATGAGTCAATTACCCTGGGTTACTTGGGTGGGTGCAATGTAATCACAAGGCCCTTGTAAGTGAGAGAGGCAGGAGGGAGAGTCACAGTCAGAGAGATTTAACGATGCTACTCTGCTGGCATTGAAGATGGAGGAAGAAGCCACCGGTCAAGGAATGCTGGCAGCCTCTCGAAGCTGGAAAAGGCAAGGAATTGTATTCTCCCCTAGAACCTCTAGCAAAAAAAGCATCCCTGCCAACACCTTGACGTAAGCCTTGTGAGGCCCATTTTAGGTAGTGATTGGAGATTAGAAAACAAAATTAGAACTCTGCCAAATGTTTACAAACTCAGGTGTGTTTGACTGATAGGAGAAATTCTACTTATTTTCCTCGTCTCACATTCTCCCCCTGTATTTGCCCTCAGATTCTGTCGGGCAGGCCAGGGTGATCAGACATCACCTGGGGGGATAATTGGGGATGAGGAATTTGATCATATATGAGAGACGGATGCTGGCTAACTTGACAGAATTCTTCTAAAATTGGACAACATATAGAGCAACATAAAGTCCAAAAGTGAGAACTAGTTGACAAAGAGTTCAGTGCTTTCCCTGATAAGGGAGCCTGAGTAGGGTTTGGTGGATGAGAGCCTTTGTCGAGGGAGTGATACAGTATATGGTCATTTGTGACTGGCTTCTTTCACTAAGCATCTTGCATGTTGCAGCCTGTGTCAACACTTAATTCAATTTTTTTACTGAGTAATATTCCATGGCATAGATTCATAGTTTTACTAGATCATTTTTTTTTAATGTACTTTTGATCAGCATTCTTTACTGAAGTTGAGGAACGAGCCTTTTGGGTTTGCTTGCAAAAAGACGACCTGAGACACTTGGATATGATTATAATGGTAAAAGTTTATACATCTTGTTCCAAGGCTTGAAGTGTGTGCTCATTTAACCCTCACAAACAGCCTCTGGGAGGGGTATTGTTACTTTCACATATGGTTAAAAACGAGGGACATTCGGAATCAAAGAACTCACTCAAAACTAGGTAAATGGGGCTGAACTCGAACCAGGCCCAGACCCAGAGTTCCCGAGCCCCGCCGAGAACGAGTTAATGAGTGGACGATGCAAGGACACGTAAATGGGCTGCGCACACTAGGGAACTCGAGCCGAAGAGAAAAAGGGTCCAGCCACCCAGCCGCCTCATCCTAGGAACCGAAGAACACCGAGAGAGCCTCGGAACCTATGGCGCGACGCCCGTTTCCGGTGCCGGAGGGGGACACGTTTGCAGAGGACTTCCGGGGCGAGGCCCGGCCGGGAGCGGAAGAACCCCGGCGGCTGCAGCGCGGCACGGGCAGTTCGGCACGGGTAGTTCAGCTGGGTTCCAGGAGTTCGCAGCGTGGGTTTGGAGTCAAGGTCTGTTCCGCGGGCAGCTGGAAGGGAGTATACACGTCTCGACGGCGGAGGGCGCACGGCCGGACTCCCGGCCGCTTGGCCATGAACCTGGAGCGGTTGAGGAAGCGCGTCCGGCAGTACCTAGACCAGGTGGGCAGCCGCCTCGAAGAACGCGCGGGCCCTGGGACTCGCGAGGGGATCCTGCCGCGAGCTTGTCCGCGGGGATAACTGCGTTCGGGGGTTTGGTGGTGCATGGCCTGGCCCGGCCTGGGCTTCTAGGGTAAAACACCCGAAGGGCGGGATCCAGTCCTCCAGTCTTCTCTGCAGCTGGGAGGATGAGTTAACACTGAAAACAGAAGTCACCTAAACGCAGTGTGAGGCTTACAGGTGCTTAAGGTCCCGCTCTGCAGCTGACCTAACTCCTGGGCCCACAGTGGGTGCTCAGTACAGACTTACTGTTAAGTGGAAGTTAAAAAATTATTTTGGGAGGAAAGTTGCAGGGTGACCTTTAAATTTAGCTAGCTAATAGAAAATTTTTGAGAAGTTGTAATTCTCATTTAGCCAAATTTGAGTGAAGAAACAAACTTGTCTCACATCAGTACTTTAAACTACATCTGTATTCCCTGCACTGCCCTTCAATGAATAACAAACAGTGTGTAAGGAAAGAACTGTCTCCAAAATCAGCAGCATCAGTTTAATCTACCATGTCACTTAAATTTTTAAAAGATTTTATTTTATTTTTAGAAAGAGGGGAAAGGAGGGAGAAAGGGAGAGAAACAGCAATCTGTTGCCTCTCACATGCACCCCATCTGGGGTCGGGCAGAAACCCACGCATGTGCCTTGATGGAAATCAAACTTGTGACCCTTAGCTTTGCGGGACCACGCTCATCCAACGCTGGTCAAGGCTGATGTCACTTAAGTTTTAGTAAAATGTTTGCTCTCCCAATAAATTGGAAACCAAGGAGGGGAGAGAAAAGCTTGTTGAATGTGAGATTTTCGGAATTGGTTGTGAAATGATGCTACCAAATGTTGCCATTACTTTGGTGGGCTGTATTTTGGTTTCCCATAAACCAATTGCACAGATGCCTCCTGAGCACTTTTTCTGTGGCACTAGGGATACAGTAAGGAATGAGACAGGCCTGGTTTCCGCCCTTGGGGCACTTACTGCATTGAGCTGATTTGTAACAGGTCTCAAGCATTCCTCCTCCCAGTCTGAAGAATGAATTCCTAGTTTGCATCCAGGAGGACTGGGGCAAAGATTGTAGAAAAATTGAGAACCATTACTAATGACTAGATATTGCAAAATAATGATTTAAATTATCTACTGTTTTAGATGCCTGCAGGAACATTTTTTTTTCTGTTTTTGAAACTTTTTTCCTGTCCCCTTACTCTGTTGACACCTGTCAGCTTCTCTGTCTCTATGGGTCTCTTTCTGTTTTTATTCATTTTTTTAGATTCCATTTGTGTGTAAAATCATGCGATATTTGCCTGTCTGACTTATTTCACCTAGCATCATACCGTCTGGGTCCATACATGTTGTCACAAATGGCAAGATTTCATTCTTTTTTATTGCTGACTTATGCCCTCCCCCCATATCTTCGTTGTATATGCATCTACTGATGGACACTAGGTTGCTTCCCTATTTTGGCTATTGTAAGTAATCCTGAAATGATCATGGGGTGCATATATCTTTTTAAATTAGTGTTTTGGTTTTTCTTTGGATAAAGACCCAGAAGTGGAATTGCCGGGTCATATATTTTTAATTTTTTCAGGAAACTCCATACTGTTTTTCATAGTGACTGCACCAGTTTGCAATCCTACCAGCAGTGCATGAGGGTTCTCATCTTCTCCACATCCTCACGGGCACTTCTTTGTTGATTTATTGATGATAGCCATTCTGACAGGTGTGGGGTCATAATCTCATTTTGATTTTAATTTGCATTTCCCTGATGATTAGTGATGTTGAGCATCTTTTCATATGTGTATTGGGTATCCATATGACATCTTTGGAACAGTGTGTGTTCAAGTCCTCTGCCCATTTTTTAAATTGGGTTCTTTATGTTTTTGGTGTTAAGTTGTATGAATTCCTTAGATTATTCTGGATATTAACCCCTTATCAAATGTATCGTGTCGGCTGAAAAGTCCATATGTTTTTTTTTCCTCAAAGTAAGACACATTTTTCATTTTATCAATAACTTGATTGATTTAGATATTTTGAGTATGTCTGCTATCTCCCATGTGATAGGTATAATGTTGATTGTTCTCAGTTAATGTTTTGATTTGATCATTGTCTTTAGCTGGTCTACCCCACAGTGGAACATCATCCAGCAAGAAATCTTCCACCTGAAACTTTGTAGACCACTTTTGACACATTCGATCAGTCACAGCACTTCCGTACACTGCACAATCTTTTTTTGTGTTTCCCATGTGTTTTTACCTTTCTTGAAATGATAAAGCATAATTGCTGAAATTTCACTTATTTTCTTCCACCTTCAATATTAAAATGGCTACACAAAAGCTCACCAGTTTTGATAAGTTTTTACAAAATGCACATTGAGTCCTGGCTAGTGTGGCTCAGTGGATTGAGTGCTGGCCTGCAAACTAAAGGGCTGCTGGTTTGATTCCCAGTCAGGGTACATGCCTGGGTTGCAGGCCAGGTCCCCAGTAGTGGGTGCATGAGAGGCAACCACACATTGATGTTTCTCTCCCTCTCTTTTCCTTTCCCTTCCCCTCTCTAAAATAAATCAGTAAATTTAAAAAAAACGCACGTTGCTATGACAGATGTCACAATACAATCTTAACAAAATTGTTTCAAGTGAAGTTAGATAATGAAGTACTACTAGAGCCATATTACAGAAAAAAAAAACAAAACAATGTTTTTGGCCAACCCAATAACATTTGTGATTATCTTCACCCATTCAGTAGGTCAGCTTTTTGTTGGTTTCTTTCACTGTGCAAAAACTTTATTTTGATGCAGTCCTATTTTGCTTATTTTTCCTTTTGTTTCCCTTGCCCAAGACATATCCAAAAAGATATTGCTAAGTGATGTCAAAGAGTTTATTGACTATGTTTTCTTCTAAGAATTTTGATTTTAGGTCTTACATTTAAGTCTTCAATCCATTTAGAGTTTATTTTTGTATATGGTACAATTTCAGTGTTTTGCATGTAACTGTTCATTTTCCCTAGTACCACTATTGTGTCCTTGCCTCCTTTGTTGTAGGTTAATTGACCATGTAAATATTTATTTCTGGATTCTGTATTCTATTTCCATTGATCTATATCTCTGTTTCTGTGCCAGTACCTGCTGATACATTTTGTACCGTATGTTTATTTTTTAACTACATTTTTCAACTATTTATGTCAATGATCTTGCAATCATTTTTTAAAAATTGTACCCTTGAATTAAAACTCACTTATTTTGAGATATAAAATAAAGATTTGATTGATAGACCCCCTACTACATGTAAAAAAATTATTGTACTGAGTTGTCACCCTATTATACAGCATTCTGATTATATTAGGTATCTGTTCAAAAGTTGAAATAACAGCATTCATCACTTTTTTTTTAATACAGCAACAATATCAGAGTGCTCTGTTTTGGGCAGATAAAGTAGCTTCACTCTCTCATGGTAAGTGACAAATTCTAATTCTTTTTCCTGATTTTTCTATCTTTAAAATTTTTTATCTCTTACCTTGGCCTCTGACCATTTATGTAATTTTTCCCTCTAGAGGAACCCCGGGACATTTATTGGTTGGCTCAATGTCTTTACCTGACAGCACAGTATCACAGAGCAGCTCATGCGCTTCGGTCACGAAAACTGGACAAAGTAAGTGATTATATGAACTTTAAAGTTTTTCAGAGGTTTTTAAAAACGGTCATTAGATTAGTATTGTAGGTTTATGTTTTATGTCAAAATTATTTAAAAGGATTCAAGTTTCCTTCTATAAAAAGTTATTTATTTATTTATTTTTTAGAGAGAGAGGGGAAGGGTGGGAGAAAGAGAGGGAGAGAAACATCAATGTATAGTAGCTTCTTGCACGCCCCTTACTGGGGACCTGGCCCGCAACCCAGGCTTGTGCCCTGACTGGGAATCCAGGCAGCGACCCTTTGGTTCTCAGGCTGGCACTCAATCAACTGAGCCACACCAGCCGGGGCTCAAGTTTTCTATTCCTAATCTCAGTCACCTTGTTTTTTCCTCCACCTCTAGTCACCAAGTTTCGAAAATTCTGTTCTCTGAATAGCTCTGAAGTTATGGATAGTCCTTTCTCATTATCATTCAGACATGTCAGGCGTTTAATTTATCTGTTTTGTTGTTTTTGTCTTTCTTTTCTCTTTTCTCCAGTAACATCTTTCCCACTTCTTACTTCCCACCTTCTCTGTTTCCAGTTTATCTTTTAAACTATCATAGGGGTGGTCTTCCTAAAACACAGATCTGACTGCGTCACTCACAGTACCTCTCAGTGATCTCCCGTTTCCTACAGTATAAAATTGGATGCATTAGCATTAATAGACTCCCAGGGTCCTTTATGATTTCTCACCAGTCTGCTTCTAACCTCCCACCATCATCGGTACATGGAACAGGTACTCCTGTCATGCTGGTCACTTGCATTTCTTTAGGCTTGAGGCAGTTATTCAGGCTCAGTTCCTGGAATACTGACCAACTCTCGTTTACCTTCTCCCCTGCAGATGTTTTCTTCTTTAAGTGGCTAGTCCTCTTCATGTCTTCCTTTCATGGTTGTGAAAGAAACAGTGTGCTGTGTTTGTGTCTCCCTGCTTTAACCTCCTCGAGGACAGGTTCTTACTCCTTGTTGAATCCTCGGTGCCTAGTAAAGCAGTGGTGTATGATGACTGTGGGTTAAAGAGACTGACTTGTTTTCTCTGCAAGAGTAAAAGGAGAAATGATGAAAGTAGCTTTCTTTATTTCATCCTCACAGTTTTCAGAGTGAAGATGCATGTTATCTTGACAACTATTTTAATAGATTAATTTCTTTTCTAGTTGTATGAGTCCTGCCGCTACCTTGCAGCTAGATGCCATGTAAGTGTGCTCTCAGTTTCCTTTTTATTTGATAAAAGTTTAATTATGTGTGTGTTACGTATACTTCACATATGTATGAGAATTCTAACGATAGAGTTTGGCAGATTAATATTTTGTGAGGAAATGTCCTTTTTTAAAATATTGTTTGGTATGAAATATTGATTCTCCCATTACATGCATGAAGAAAATTCTGCTTTAGACATTTTAAATTTGAGTAATGAATGGGCATAATATTCATTACGCTCCTAAAATCTGCAGTATTTGTCTCTATATCTAGTGTCAGAAGTCATGGCTGATGAACAGTATTTCTGTTTTCCATATAGTACGCTGCGAAAGAGCATCAGCAGGCTCTTGATATTCTTGATATGGAGGAGCCAATCAACAAACGATTATTTGAGAAGTACTCAAAGGATGAAAGTGGCTTGAAAGACCCCTCCAATGACTGGGAAATGTCACAGTCCTCAGTAAGTAATACTGTAACGAGCATGCTTCATTACCATCAGTAGGAATTACCCACACAGTATAGCAACCATAAATCATTTTCTTCTGCTTGAGTATAACCATGTTAAAATAGTTTGGTTGCCACCTTACTTAAGTTACCCACCAAAACCCAAAAAGATTGTGAGACATTTCTGAGCTATCAGTTGGAAGCTGTAATTACATTCTCAGATTCTTGAATCTGAATTAGGCTAATTTGAGATTTTCCTTCTCATATTTGATGCCTTAAACTATTCCTCACAGGTGGAATAATTTTTATCCTTACTGTGATTCAACAGTGTTTATATCTACCCCCAAGAAACTTTGATTACCTTAGATTGTTTCTTTACGGAGAGTGGTTTGGCATTTCCATTTATGATAGTTTATATGTTTCAGTTTGCATACTTTTTATGTGCATGAAATTGCAAATTCCTTGCTGGCAAAGATTATATATATTAAGTGACATCTGCAGTCAGGTTACTAATCTGAACTGTTACTCTTCTTTTTGTTCTAATTTTTAGAACAAAAATCCTTTCTCGAGAAATAACCCACATGTCATGCAGTTCATTCACTTACAGTGTGCAGTTGCTTGGCTCTCGGTGTTTCCACAGAGCGGAGCAGCCCTCACCCCAGTCAGTTTTAGGGCCTCGGTGTTAACTGCACTTCAGAAAGAAACCTGGAACTGCTTAGCTGTTGCCCATCAATTCTCCCATTTTTCTAGTTTTTTTTTATGACATTAAGAAACTTGGTTACTTTTCATCTCAAAAATGTAGAAACACTATACATTTTTTGGTGCTTTCTTTTTCTCTTACCTTATGTTTTTGGACTGTTTGTCTGTTTATGTTCTAGAAAGTGTACATCTTTCTGCCAAGAAATGCATTTATGACAGCTTGGTATTATTTTTGGACCTCTTATCCATTCATTTATCTGTTAAGAAATACATGATTTACTTGTAATCTATTGTTATTTATTTTATAAAATTACTTAAAAAAATAACTCATCAGATACTGCGTAGGTCTATAGTTCTTTCATAAGATCCTCCAGTAGTTTTTTAAGTTTTGGTGTTATGATGAATCTTCTTCATCCCTTTGCCAGTTTTAGCTTTTTCCCCTTTTAGGATCATCATTACGCTCAGTTTTGTGTTTCCTGAGGTTCAGATCTTGGAACATCAATCAGATTTCTGCTTTCTCTTGTTAATGATAATAGTGAGGGAATAGCACCTTACCATGTGCTAGCTCCACAGAGAGTGTTACCTCTGCTCCTCACAGAGCCCTGTAAGTTAATGAGAAAAGGAAACCAAGGCCAAGAGAGGTGATATCACTTGTCTAAGGTCACTAGTATGTGTGGGAACTGGGATTTGTACTCAGGTCTGTCCAGTTCCAGAAAGTCATGCTCCTAACCACCGGACTACATTGCTGCCAGATCCTTTCGATGAGATCCACCCATCAAATTGTACTACAGTTTGATGTACTATATTTGTGTTGTTGGTGTCCCTAAATCATTACCCTGTTTGAGACACAGCAGGTAATGAAGGAAGTAGCAGTGGCGTGTACATGACAGGGATTTGTGGAAGTGAGGAGGGCCTAGCGACCATAGGTTAGAGGAGCCTTATTTGCCCTCGTGTTTCTGTTTATACTGTGTCGGACAGTGGGGTGGGAAAATCCTTTTAGATGTAAAAAGGTCTCAGCCTTCAGATTGTATAAAATTTTTGATAAATAAAGTTTATCAAAAATATATTGACTTAGTATGTGACTCATCGTATTTTTCCAACAGATAAAGAGTTCTATTTGTCTTTTACGAGGGAAAATCTATGATGCTCTAGATAACCGAACCCTAGCTACCTACAGCTATAAAGAAGCTTTGAAGCTCGACGTCTACTGTTTCGAAGCGTTTGATCTTTTGACGTCACACCACATGTTGACAGCCCAAGAAGGTTTGGAAACTCAGGTGTTTTTATATTTAGCACAATTGATACTCTTTTTTTATTTTTATTTTTTTCCTGTGAAATCTGTAGAATCAAGAGCAGGCTCTGTACAGATTTAGATTTAATAGACTTATTAACTTCCTTAACTTCAAATATGAAGTGCAGTACAGAATACAGTATTGTGCAGTGCCCACTGCGGGCAGAATCTCGGGATTGTGATGTGATGGGGCCATGTTTTTGAGAAGTGATTTGAGGTCTTGTAAACCAAGATTCGAATATCTGATTACATGGCTCTCTACCAGACTGCACATTAAATCCCCAAGGAACTTTAAAGACATCAGTGTGCAGGTCCCAACTCCAGACTGGTTGAATCAGAGTCTCCGGTGGGGAGACTCTGGCGTGGTTTAAAGCTTCCACATGATCCTAAGGTACAAAAAACAGCTGAGAACCATTGACCGAAGGCGTCAGCAGCAATGTGAGGTGGATAAACAAGAGAAACCGAACATGCAGATGTTATTTTAATGGGTTTCCAACATATTTTAGCCTAGCGCAGTCATTCTCAGGGTGATTTTGCCTCCCAGGAGACATTGAGCAGTACCTGTAGACATTTTTGATTGGTGTAACTGGGGACAGGGTGGGAGGGTTGGAGGTTGCTACTGATTGCTCGTAGGTAGAGGCCAGAGATCCTGCTAAATGCCTGTGGTGCACAGGATAGCCAACACGGCAGAGGATTACTCTCACAAAGTGCTGAAGTGCTGAGGGTGGGAAGCTGGCTTGGTGGGCTGTCAACGTGGTGGGTCATCGGTCAGAGTCACCCGGGAGGCTTCCTGGCAGGGCCCTCCAGGGAGTTCTCATCGCTGGGCCTGCAACCACTGTCTTCCCTTTCTCTGGTGCATTTTGATCTTGTCATTTTCTCCTTTGGGTTTGATTTACTTAGGCCAAGAGCTATAGAAGAATGTTTTTCATTGCTAATGTTTTTTCTTCCATCAGTATTGTGAGGACATTCTTTTTTTTCTCAATGTTTTTAAGAAAAAGAACTTCTTGAATCACTACCTCTTAGCAAGCTTTGTACTGAAGAACAAGAGTTACTACGTTTTCTATTTGAGAACAAATTAAAAAAGGTAAATAAAACACAGTATTTGCATTATGTAAGTATCTTGTTTCACTCAATTTGGCCTCTGTTCTTTTACTAGTTAAATTTTTAGAAATTAATTTTTATTAATTTAGCACTTTTGCAAGAGTAGATTTATATTATTTAAAACATATGATGCGGCCCTGGCTGGGTAGCTCAGTTGGTTGGAGCGTTGTCTGACATGCTGAAGTTGCTGGTTTGATCCCCAGCCAGGGCACATAGAAGAAGCAACCAGTGAATGCATAAAATGAGTGGAGCAACAGATCGGTGTTTCTCTGTCTTCTCCCTTCTTCTCTCTAAAATCATTAAATACAAATTTAGAAAAGAAAAAATATATATGATTTCTTAAAAAGCTTCTAAAAATACCTGCCTTCCTCCCAGGGACTACTTACACTAAAATACTGAACTATGCGATAAATTGAATGATGTTGCATGAAAATGAGGATCTTTGTCTTATGTGTCCTGAACTTCTACTTTGTAAAATACATCCTACTGTGGAATTCTGTGGTAAAATTGAGAAGAGAATTAAATTAAGTTCATTGAGAGTATACTGATGAGTCTTGAGGTTAAAAATGTTTCTAGAGGCTCACACAATGTCCTTATGTAAATCTTTTAACCACATGGGTCAGATGGAGCCTGCCTTTTAATTTGGTGTAGCTCACTGAGTTTATGTTTACTTTCTTCTATTTCAGTATAATAAACCAAGTGAAACGGTCATCCCCGAGTCTGTAGATGGTTTACAAGAGAATCTGGATGTGGTTGTATCTTTAGCTGAAAGACATTATTATAACTGTGATTTTAAAATGTGCTACAAGCTTACTTCTGTGTAAGTATATCGCTCATTTTTATGTAGGAACATAAGAGTTCAGTCCATTTTACCTAAGAAATGCTTGGGACATGATTTCTGAGTAATCTAGAAATTGATGCTAATTTAAGTTGCCCTTACTACTTTGCAAAGTAACAAAGGGGGCACTGTTTTAAAAGAGCATTTAGAGACACCGGTTTATACACATCTGTAGGACTTTCCATTAACTTGGGGGTATACATGTCTCATTTCAGTCTTTGATAATTTGCAAGTTTGAAAACACCATTCTGGGAGAGGGGTGGGGGGGCAGAAAACTCTACTTGAGCAACAATAAAATTCAAAAGTATTTAATTTAAAAAAGATTAAAAAAAAAAAAAAAAAAAACCTTGAGCCAAACAAACAAACAGAAAGAAAATACTATTATGGCACACAGTTTTATAAAACTCCTTCTTTGTTAGAAACTAGTAAAATCCTGTAGATAATGATGCTTAGTCACTGACTAGCCAAGCCATCTTGCCCCACACCAAATTTCCAGGGTACACAGCTCAAACTTGTCCTTTAACTGAATTACGTATACTATTTTTAATGGGTTTTTAGGGTTGCTTAAATCCTTGAATTCAGAAAAATTTTAATTGATAAGTATTTGTGATCTGTTTTATATTTCACATTTTTTTTGATTCTTCTAAATAATTGGACTAATTTTATGTTACGGTTCTATTGATTTAAAGTAAATCAGTGAGATTTTAAAAAATTTTTTATTGTATTTTTTATTACCATTTATCCCCCATATACCCTCCTACCCCCACAATGTTTGTTTTTATTCCTTCTAAATAAACCAGAATTTTCCTTTTATTTATAACCTAATCATGGCCTTGACTGAACCAACCTGAAGGCAGTGGTATTGAGAGAGTAAAACAAGCATTATAACCAACAGGGTTGTACACAGTGCTGTAATGACTACTTAAACACGGCTCACTGTAGTGAGCGCTGGTATGTGCTGACTCTGGGGTAGTGATGTGTTGCTTTAACTTTCAGAGTAATGGAAAAAGATCCTTTCCATGCAAATTGCTTACCTGTGCACATAGGGACACTTGTGGAGCTGAATAAAGCAAACGGTAAGAATTTTTCTGTTAACTTGAAATTTTGTCTCACAAGTCCTGGATAATTGAGATTGTAGGTAACAACGTAATGAAGTTCTACAATAAAAGTAACAGCTAGGGGAAGAAATGCTTACCAGAGAGACCAGTGGTCTGTTCTGTTATCTCAGCAACACACTATTTCTTCATCACTGCTTCCTTGTCTCAAATGTAATTTGTGGTCGAAGAGTTGGATGGCAGTTTTGCCTTTTTTCTCTCTTTCTGTGAAATCCTTAAGCAAACTGATACGACAAGAGTCTGTAACTTCTTAGAAATTGGAAGGGGGCAGACTTTTTTTGCTCAGGTTTTCTATACTTTAACATTTTAGAAACATTTAGTTGTGTTTGGACTGTATTTGCCCTTAAACCTTTTAAACTGTGTAATGAGTTCTGTTAAATGGAAGAAAAGCCTGCCACTACCCCAGCTGCGAATCTCTGCTGGCCCAAGTGTGGCCCGTGACCCATAGCATCACGTCTCCAGGCAGCTTGTAGGAGATTCAGACTCCCAGCTGCCCCAGTCTAGTGGACTCAGGCCTGTACGTAGGACCCATCATCGTCACATGCCCAGGACTCACACATTACTTGAGGAAATCATCTGGCTGTTTGGATAAACTTGAGAGCGTGGTCGCCCACATGGGTTGTGGGTGATTATCATGGTCCATATAGGCCCCTGGAGTAAGAGACAGGAGTTTTTAAGATAGGTGAGGTGCTTTGAAATAATCTCTTAAGGAGCATGAAGTGCTTCGTCTCCAGTCACTCAGCAAATGCTCAGTGCCCACCATGGGATGCACGGTGCGTGAGGAATTGGTTGGGGGTGACTTGAATGATACAGCCATAGTATCTGCCCCTTGGAGTTTCTGTATTTCATCAGGTAAGTGAATTTTGTATCTAGAAAGAAAGGAAAGAATGCAGTCATTGCTGTGAGAACATGATTTATATGATTGTGAAGAGTTATAACTGGGGGAAAGTGATAACCTTAAAATTCATTTGATGTGAATAATTTTATTCTTTTTTTTCTAATGTAGAGCTTTTCTATCTTTCTCATAAATTGGTGGATTTATACCCTAGCAACCCTGTAAGTAAATACAAGCTTTTTTTCTTAAAGTGTTTTTTTCTTCTCACTTGAACTTAAAGAAAATGCTTAATTAGTATTTAGAAAGTAGCTTATATTTAAGATTAAGCAAATATGTTTTATTTTAGGGTGTTGGAGCAGAATCTCCTAGTGCTTATGATAATTAGAAGCAACATTAACTTTCTCAGTTCATGAAGGTATTTTTTAGTGTACTCGAAACATAACTTAAAAATCTTCATCTTTTTCTGATTATAGAAATTGTATATGTTTATTATTAAAAATACTTAACATACAGAAAAATAAAATACTGAAAGTCAAAGTCACATTCCCACCTGTTATAAGTAATGCTAATAATTGCTTGGTGGCTTTCTCACAGTGCATACATAAGGTAATTTACTGGATTGTGCACTGATTCTTCTAAACGGCCATGGATCAGAACTAAGATCTGGAAGTTGAAAATGGAATCAGGAACTGTGTCCTTAAAAAGGACAAGAGTCAGGAATCAGGGTCTGAGTCTCAGGTGAGAATCTGGACCCTAGACCAGTGTGAAAATAATTACAAAGAGGTAAAACATGCAAGAGATGTCATCTAGTGACGTAGAACCCGGGAGAATTGGGGTCGGGCCAGGGAAGACTCACAGTGCAGGTGGGAGGCCAGGGCTCAGGCTGCATCTGAGATAGGATGTGTTCAGGAGCCTTGTCTTACATTCAGTGCTGTAGCGAAGTGATTGAAGGCATCTTGAGGAAATGCTGTGGAGATTTGGTTCTTTTCATTCCTTACTAGACAGCCTGTCTCAGAGAAAATTTGTACTTGAACTAGAATGTAGGATGGAACACCATGTCTGTCCACTAACCTAATTTGTTAGGTATTTTTAACTCAAAGTTCAGATCTTTGGTCATGGTAAATTTTGAACTTTGTAGGTGTCTTGGTTTGCAGTAGGATGCTATTATCTCATGGTTGGCCATAAGAATGAACATGCCAGAAGATATCTCAGGTATGAATTTATTGTATTCCTCACTCTCTAGTGAACTGGTAGGAAGAGATTTCTTGCTCATCTGCTTTAATGCAATAAATAGTAAGTTTTTTAAAAGAAGTGTAAAAGAACAGATGTTTTATTCGGCAGATTCAGTTCAGTGGTATCAGTTACACACCTTGCTCTTTATAAGATGTCATGAGGGAGAGAAAAGTATATCAGTGGTATAGACCTTGTTCTCGAGGAAGTTATATTTAAGTTTTTATTTATAAATGAGAAATACAACAGAATAGAGAACAATATAAAGTAGTTTGAAAGGTTCTGTCTTTTATTTACAGAGATGCTATTAACCATTTACTTTTAGAATTTCTTTTGTTAAGAAGATGACTTAAGTGAGATTAGGGTCATTAAATGGGACTGTAAAACAGAATTCTTGGCATAGTGGACTGACTTATACAAGGACCTGCTGTGGTTTCAGTTTAAGGAATTCGTTGCAGCCCAATCAAGTATTATTCAATTATGCAAGTACAGGAAAATGTCTATATGTGAAAAATTAATTACTAAAGATTTAAAATATAATGATACTTGTGATTTACTGCACATGAGCAAAATATAAAATTGGATCTAGGGGAAGTGCGTAAACTTTGAACACAGACTTGAATTCTAATCCAGGCTCTGCTGCTTGCTTGGACTAGCCATAATCTCTTGGCAAAGTTAATTTCTCTATAATTTTTTCTAAAAATGGGAATTACATAATATTTGTATCCCGGGATTGTTAGGAAAATGGATAAGATGACATAAAAGGATCCTGTCCTGGGAAGCAAACAGGGAGAGTGTCTGGTTAGTTGTGTTAAGTGTCTCACAAAACCTCGCTGGAACTTTTTCCCGGAGTGAGGAGATGGTGTGTGCTCTGGAACTGTTTCTGAGCCATGCTTTTTTGAGTTAGTATGCTTATTTGCTGACGGACTCCAGGTGAAACAGGGAACGTTTGGGTGAAAGAAAACTTAGAAAATAAAATTCTAGGAAGTCTGAATCTTACCCTTTACATTTTCCATGTTTTGTGGTGTTTGCTTTATTTCCTGTTGTGGGTCACCAGGGGCCACTGGTTGGAGACTGGCTGTTTCAGCCTGTGTAGCCCCGTTCATGGGACCAGCGGGAATCGCCTGCCACCTTGTGTAGGATTCAGTCTTTCCAGCCTCAGTATACTTATCTTTAAAATATAAATAGTAAGGATTAGATGATGCACATAAGTCATCTAACATGGTGCCTGGCATAAAACAGGCCCTAAATGGTTGCAGCTCCCACCATTTACCTAAGTTGTAAAGTACACTCCTGGATTAAGTAAAATTTGTTAATTCTATACAGAATGCTAATGGGTTCAACTATAGTACCTAAAAGTTGTGAAGCTCTCCTAAAATTTCTTAACCTTTTACTTGTACCGTTAAATATTATTTTTATTTCAAATGAATGAACACAGATGTTACATTAGTGTCTGATATATTGACAGCTCATTTATTTAATTTTAATGTGTTTGAAACCATCAGCTTACCTAAAACTAACACTTTAAGATGACATACATTAATTGAATGAAACATCTCATTTTAGTAAAGCTACGACGCTGGAGAAGACCTACGGGCCCGCGTGGATTGCATACGGGCACTCGTTTGCGGTGGAGAGTGAGCACGACCAGGCGATGGCCGCCTACTTCACAGCGGCTCAGCTGATGAAAGGGTATGGCGGCGCGAATGGGCTCAGCTCCACGGAAGGGGTTTTGTTTTTTGTTTTTTGTTTTTTGTTTTTACTAACAAAGTGAAATTTTACTGCCACTGTCATATTCTTGGTAAACTAAAGAAAAATACCTTGTATCTTGTTACTAGCTTATGGTTATAAAATAACTAGGGAAGTTTAGGGAGAAAGAAGCTGGTGTAGTGATTTTTGTGGTCGGGATCTGACCGCAAAAATCAATGGCTTTCTGGCTCTGGTACTGTGGGCTGGGGAGGCCAGCTTGGGGTTTATATCCCACACTTGTCAGGGGGAACCCTGGAATAATCCCTCTGGAAATTCAGCTGCTGCCTGTGGAGCCCAGCCAGTCTTCTTGCACCTCCTCCCCACTCCCTGCCAGTCTCTTTGTGGTGATGAGATTTCTTCTATCTGTTCTTGGTTATAAGGCTGCTTCTTCTCTCCAGCCAGTGTTTAGTTGGTCATGACTTTTCTTTCTTTCTTTTTTTTTTAAGAGTTTATTTATTTATTTTTAGAGAGAGAGGAAGGGAGGGAGAATGAAAGGGAGAGAAACATTAATGTGTGGTTGCCTCTCGCACATCCCCCATTGGGGACCTGGCCTGCAACCCAGGCATGTGCCCTGACTGGGAGTTGAACCAGTGACTCTTTAGTTCGCAGGCCAGCGCTCAATCCACTGAGCCACACCAGCCAGGGCAAACTTTTCTTTAATTTACTTGTAATTCCAGTTTGGTTCTGGGAGGGGGTTAGTGGAGTTTTCCCTTATTCCTCGGCCATCTTAAGATCTGGGGCTGCTGATTTTTCAGGCCAGTGTGGAGCCGGGACATGGGAGATGGGAATGGGATAAGTTAAAACATCCTTAAATCTGTTCTTCTTGCTGGGACTCCACTGTTTTTCTAGAGTAAACGCTCCTCACTTTGTTGTTAGTCTTTGGTTAACTTCTGAAGTTCTGAACAAGTTTATTTTGATAATTTTTGGTAATGTTCTTAATTGCTTTCATGGAGGAGTGGGTTTTACTCTGCCATTTCAGAAGTTCCTGCAGGGAAATACTTCCAGAGCAGTTCTTCATGGCCCTGGCTGGATAGCTCAGCTGGTTGGAGGGTTGTCCAATATGCCAAAGCTCATTTGACATTCATTAAATATAAGTATATAAAGCTTTAGAAAGAAAACTAAATGCTCTGGTTTTTTGGCTATGTTTAAATTAATCTGCAGACAGGATTTAAGGTCAAAAATTAATTTCTACTGAATTATAAATATTTTTGTATTGAATATGTGAAATTTTTCAATATTTATAGGTGTCATTTGCCAATGCTGTATATTGGATTAGAATATGGATTGACCAATAACTCAAAATTGGCTGAAAGATTCTTTGGCCAGGCCCTGAGCATTGCCCCTGAAGATCCTTTCGTTATGCATGAAGTTGGTGTGGTTGCATTTCAGAATGGAGAGTAAGTACTGAGGGGCCCTTCTGTTTCCTTTGTATGAACAGAATACAACCTCGAGTTTTAGAATGGGATCAGAATGACTCTTCGGTGGGTTTTTATTTTTAAATGTGTACTCTTTTAGGAGGAGGAGGTGGACAGTGAAAAAAAATAGAAAGGGTTATCTTGGCTTTCTTTAAAAATGCTCAGCCTTGGGCTTTGGTCCCCTTTGGTGTGAGCTGTCACAGGCTCTTAAGTTCCAAGACTGGACAGTCGTAGCTAACCCTGTCAAGTCACTGAACCTCACAGCATGGCCCGGGGGACTGCAGAATCCTCAGTCCCCTGTCTCCTTGTTGATTAGGAGTTGGATTCATGCGTTTGAGGAAAGTTTTCCACAGTTTTGAAATGAAAATGTTTTCTGTTTAGTTACCAGTTAATCCAAAAATTAAACTAATTAGAATGGCTTACTCTGAATTTCTTAGTCAATTGAGGTATTACTGTAATCTTGGATATTTGTAGAATAAGTAATTCATTGTCATAGTCAAAGAGAAAAGTATCGATAGCCCTTTGTGCTAAATTGTACAGGAAGTTAATGCAGTGAGTTAGTACTACTGTAGTGGTGTGTTAGTACTACTGTAGTGGTGTGTGTAGTCGGAAAACTGGATTAACTAGTATTCATGAAAGAAAGTTTGGAGCTTTTAAAATAACATGTAGTAATAATCTGATACACAGTCAAGTTATTTTTAACCCCAAAGTCAATCAGGGTGCTTTCCCATGTGCAGGTGTCCCAGCTCAGGTCAAACAGATGACGTTCTGCCCTTTTATTTGCACGCTCCTACTGTAAATGTGTTCTTATTGACGATTTCACTGTTGACAAAGGGTCCCCAGGTGCAGAGCCGAAATGCTGTCTAGTGTTCCTAAGCACAAGAAGGCTGTGTTGTGCCTTGGGGAAAATACGTTTGTTAGATAAACTTTGTTAAGGCATGAGTTTTAATCCCTTGAGTTCAGTGTTAATGAATCAACAATATATGTCAACTTAGGCGTCATTAGACACAAGTTTAGATAAAACAGATTGTAGGATGAACAGTTGGTGGAGAAAATGTGAGCCGGGGTTTATGGGAACCTAAGCCCTGTGTTTCCCCTGGGAGCCGAGGTTCAGTGCGCACCGAAGTGGTGTACACCGTGAGGTTACAACACAGTTTCTGAGAACGGTCAGAGTTGACTGTGTCTCCCAGCATCTTCAACTCCTGTGACCGTAATGCCCAGCACTAATCATTTATCATCCGACTTAAAGTTGAATTGTAATGCACTATTTTCAGAGGTTTACCTCACTTCATTTTCATGTCACTGGAAGCAGATACTCGGATTTTTCTTAAAATGTTTATAGTTGCTAACTTGATTAACCTGCCATCTTTTTTCCTTCTGTTTTAGATGGAAAACAGCAGAAAAATGGTTTCTTGATGCTTTGGAAAAAATTAAAGCAATTGGGAATGAGGTATTTTATGTAATATCTATAAATACACACATACACACACATACTCCTAAGTATGTTTACTGTTGAGTGAGGGAAATAATACAGACTGTCTTGCCTCGAAAATAGTAACCTGATGTTTATCGTAACAATTGTCAGCCACTTAACTGTTTCACTACATGGTACAAAATGAGTTTGTGTCTAATTGAGAGGAAAGCAGATGTTGGCTCTTTGCTTCTTAAGAAGCTATAGTCTTGATATTGGGAGTCACCAGAATGTATTTGATGACTGTTTGACACGGGGATGAGTGATGGTTAGTGGGACCTGGTGGGCACTGTAGCATGGAACATAGTCTGTCCTTCTTCAGCACCCACAAAGCCTCATCTTGGATTAATGGGCAGGTGTAGTAGCTGATACCTTTTTTGCTGAAACAGGGCTAGGAGTCATTCAAATTCCAGCCTATTACTGCTTTTTTTTTTTACCTTGTACTTAGTAAATATTTAAACTGTACAGTGTTTGAAAAATTTGCTAGGTTTTATCATATGAAAGATGTACCCCACGAATTTGTACTCATGAATTAAACTTGCAGCTAGCATGGATGTATATACACTATGTTATTTTAAATAGTAAGTAATAGATATTGTAAACTTCTATAGGTAAGGGATTTGTATGTTTCTATAGCAACACTTCTGGTTCCTAGCTCTTTTTTATTTATACCTATTTGGGTTTATTCTGTTGTGATTGTTACTTACCACTTACATTCTGTTTCTGTTCGAGCATCCTTGCTCACAGACTACCTTTTCTTTGGCTGTAGTTCCTCCTTACTGAGACAGATACAACTCCCTTGGACTTCCTGTCCCCATAGACACAGCTTTGTTTATTTTGGTCTTTATATTTGTCATGTGAAGTTAAAAGCACTGTATTTTTGTGTGTTTGCACATGTATGTATATAAACAGGTTCTGTCACAGCTCAGTCTTGGATGGTCTGGATAATACACGTCTTTGTTAATATAGGGTTGCCACTTAGCACCTTGCCAGTTTACCGTAGGACCTTGCTACTCAGACTGGACCAGTCGCATCAGCAATACCTGGGAGCTCTTTAGAAGTGCAGAATCTCAGACTTACTGAATCAGTATCTGCAGTTTTAGCAAGATCCCCAGGCGATTCTCATGCATAGAAAAGTTTGAGATGCACTGTCATAAAATGACACTTACAATTGAAACTATTCTTTGATGATCAGAAGGTGCTTCAGGAGGCTTAGAGAAATTTAAAGTATTTTAAATTTAAAAGTATTTTTAAGTATAAAAGCACAATACTATTAAACTGTCAGAATGTCCTTTAAAAAGTTATGTGAAAAGGGGAAAACACTGTTTGACTTCAGTTATCATCTACAGAAACTGTCAAAATAGCCACAGGAAAGCAGTCATGCCTAAAATCACAAAGGGTTTGTTTCATTCACATGGGCTGTGCCTCCCGGACCCAGGCTCAGGAGAGTTAGTGTGGTTCAGGTCTGTTTATTCAGTTAGTTAGGAACTACCGAATGCATGTCGACTGTGCCCTGAGCTCTGAGCTAGGCATTGGGAGGCAGCAAGGGATTGGTTTGATATTTCCTGCCCTCACATCTATTGAGGAATGCCGATAAGTAAATTGGCAATAATACAGTTTACAAAAGGGGCTGTGATTGAGGAAGAAAGGAACCCACATAGAGGGGCCGTTAACCCAGACTCGGGAATGGTTTGGGAAGGCCTGGATGCAGCATCATGTGCCTCAGTCCTAAGGGATGGTTGATGCTAGCCATGCAGAAGTGAGGGAAAAAGGATATCTTAGCTCTTGGGGATGGTGTGTACAAAGTTGGAGCTAATTCAGTACAGCTTGGGTTTCGAGTTCACAGAGAATGTCAAGAAATGGGACAGGAGCTTTTAAGGGCCTTGAAGGTGATGTTAAAGCCTGCACCTTACCCTGAGGGAGTGGGCAACAAAAGGCTTCAGAAGGTCAGCATGGTCAGGCTTGTCTGATCGGGGCCGTGAAGAGACTGTCAATGGGCGGTTGTAATTTTACCTGGGAAGCTGATAAGTAGGCCTCGGTGATCCTGGAGGCATCAGGGGTGATGTGGGTGCCATGTACTGATGACAGGGCACTCAAGTGGCGGTGAGGTGAGGGGGCTGGGATGGCAGGAGAGGGAAGATAGGAGTTTAGCCTCAGACATGTTCAATTTGAAGTGCTTGTGAGATTTCTAAACAGAAGTGTTTAGTAGGTAGAATGACAGCTCTGGGCCAGAGATACAGAATTTGAACTTCAACATAGGTGAGCTCTTTGATAAAATTGTGCTGATAAAATAACGCCCTCAGGAAGTCTCATTAGCAGTAAACAAAGATGGGAAAACCAAGTACTCCTGCTTAGTGCCTCACGAGCACTGGGAGAGGCCCACCTGCACAGGTGTGTGCAGTAATGCAGTGCACACAGGCCGGGCTGGAGCGACTCCTGAGACCCGCGGGTGTGCTGTCGCTGTGTTTCAGGTAACTGTGGACAAGTGGGAGCCTTTGTTGAACAACTTGGGGCATGTTTGCAGAAAACTGAAGTAAGTGAAATAGAGCATTTTCAGAAATACTCTTTGTAGCTAAAAGTTTACTTAATTTTTTGTAGTTTTTCCCATATTTTTACTTTATGAGATCCTCCATCTCTCTTGTACTTGGCTGCTCAGATAGAACAATCATCAAAGTAGTTTGTATCATCTCTGTTGGTATGATTTTTAGTAATATATTGAGAATTATAATAACATTTCTTTTAGATTAAAAAATTTTAGTGTTCCAAATTAATTTAGAAGAATTAGGACAGTAGGATCTAATTAAAACCATATCGATATTCTAACTCACTGTTGTCCTCTTGATAACACTTTTGTGGTGTGAGAAACAGATGGCAGTTGAAGAATAGATTCTTTAATTAAGTGAGTTCAGTAAACTCTAGGTTACTCAAAATTTAACAGGTTTTTCTATTTCAAGATTCCTTGGAGTCTTTACTAGGCATATGGACTACAGCATATTCCAAACTTTATTGAGCACAAAACCTTTTCTCAAAAGATTTTACAAGGAAAGTGTTCCGGAGAACTTTGGAAAATGCTGTTCCAAGTGACTCCTTTGGCCCTTAAAGCAAAACTCTTTAGTCAGTTTTCACCGCCCCTGCCGTGGGAGGTGTGACTTCACAGGAGAGGAGAGGCCTTGCCGTGGGATAGGTGGGGCCCGGGCCCGGGAGTCAGGTAGCAGGTTCTGGTTCCAGTCTCCCTTGAAGCATCCAGAGGAGTGCAGCCGATACCCCTGCAGGAGTACCCTCAGCTGGCTGAGCAGGCAAGGCAGGGAGGGGCCCGTCAAGGAGGTGTGAGATACATTAAGATACGCAAAAGTGCATATTAAGTACCGTTACCAGTCTAGATGTTACTCTGATACAGGAAAGTGCTTATGTTTTCAATGCTTGTCTTAGACTGAGGAATTTAGTGCTTTTACTGTACCCACTAATTGTTCTCTCTCTCTTCCCATTTTCTCCCCCTCCCCTGACTCCCTCTCTGTCTTCTCTCGCAGAAAGTATGCAGAGGCACTGGATTACCACCGCCAGGCCTTGGTGTTAATTCCACAAAACGCTTCCACCTATTCTGCCATAGGGTATATCCACAGTCTGATGGGCAACTTTGAAAATGCTGTGGACTATTTCCATACAGTATGTCTTTTGTTTGTGCCTAATTTTAAATCTGGTTGTCATTTACCACTTTAAGCTCTTTTCTAGGCAGTGTTTTGTTGCTTTACAATTTTAAAATTCATTAGGCAACCTTGCATTCTATTGTCTTCTTGGCAGAGGAAAGCACGTGCATGCTATGCAGTAGCCATCAAATTAGACAAGGGCAAGCCCGCCCCTGTGTGTAGTAAGACGTGGTAGTGCCCGGTGGTGTTTGTCAGCCCGCCTGAGTTGGGCGTTAGTCCAGGCAGGGAGTGCAGAAATTCATGTTGCACAGTGAGGACCTCTTAGGAATTCTAGTCTTTTTATTTATGGCTTATAAGGAACTCCCTTAGATCCCTGTCATAGATGAACGAAACAGTCCTCATTTATTACAAGGAAAGAATCTCTCCTTAATCCCTATGCTGTATTTCATCAAATGTAAGACACCATTAATGAACCTGATGACCACAGAAAACAAACAAGAAAAACCACTGCCACTTATATTTTAACATAATTCGTTTTTATCACTCAGGGGGTTTTTTTGTCCTTAGAAAACATGCTCCATTGGAAATAATAGAATATCGACTTTTATCAGCAATCACTCTAGTGTTTACATAAAAATATATAAGTGAAATAAATCAGATACTCAATTCTTCACATTCAGAGTTCGGTTCTCCTAGATCATTTTCTTACTGGGGGGGTCAATACCTTGGTTTTCCCAAAGTAGTGTCCTGCTGCCAGCACACCCTGCCATTGACTCAGGTCCCTTCCAGCCAAGGACGTTGGCTCTGCCAATGTTATGCTCCCAGAAAGTGTCGACAGAAAGTTTCTAGACAACCACCACAGATCGTGTACTTCTGTGGCTCCCTCACGTGATTTGTGGCCTCACCTGTGCTGCTCCCACGGGCCCCTCGGCAGGGCTGCGGCCAGCGGGCGGCAGGAGCAGGAACACCAGTTGTAGCACATCCCACGTTCAGAGGAGTTAGAATGTGGAAAAATGTGGATCTTGGAATTGACGAAGTAACCGTACTTGAAGAAAGATAAAGGAGAAAATTAATATATCAAAGATAAATTCATAAGTGGTAGATTTATAACTAATTTTAAAGGGTTTGGTTAGTAATTTTCAGTTGAGAGGATGTCCTGAATACTGAGCACATCAGAAGTGTGTGGACTAAGCAAGTTTTCTAGTTTCTGTGATTTTCAAATATGTATATTCAAATGTTCATAATTTGTTTTTCTTCTGTGATTTAATTAACACAGAGGCTTAGAGGGCTCTGGGTGAAGATGGGGGTCTTTAAAATATTTTTGGAGGAAGGGGATTTTAAACATATAAAATGCCGTAGAATAGTGTAAATAACTCTCCGTGTGCCCATCACCCGACTTCACAGTCAATAACTCGTGGCTCTTTGTGCTTCAGCTGTTTCCCCAGTAACAACCCCCCTCTACTGGCACCTCCGATTCCCTGGAGTGTGTTGAATTGAGCCGAGCAGAAATAATTTGAAACAAAAAAGAAGGAAATACATTTTCTTACAATAACCATGCTGAATCTTTTCTGGCAGGCCCTTGGTCTGAGGCGAGATGATACATTTTCTGTTACAATGCTTGGTCATTGCATTGAAATGTACATTGGTGATTCTGAAGCTTATATTGGTAAGATTATAATTATATTCCATTTTTTAGATTGTCGTATATCTTTGTTTACGTTTCTCAAATTTTTGTGTAAGGTTCTAAGCATTCTAACTACATTACTGTCAAGAAACTACATTTATTTATTGCTGAACAATGCTGTGAGAATTAATGACTCATTAAGTCTTCATTCAGTTTAAAGTTGAGTACTTCCTATATGCAAAATACTATTATAGAATATGTGCAGAACATGGCGACATATAAGAAATCTAACTGCATTCTGGAAAAATCTTGGAGATATTTTTCTGATAAATAAAGGGCTCTGGCCTTAGTATTTTATAATGCAGGGTGTACCATGTTAATTTACACTTCAGTGGAGTAGTAAGTTGGCTTACATTCACACTACAGTGCCCTAGCTCTTTAAGTTATTTTCTAATGACAAGCAGCTCCTGTGTGGGTAGAACTGGTATACTTGGACACTCATTTAGTTATAAACACTGTAAGGTAAAGAGGTGCAATGAGGTTATATCTTGAGATGTAGACTTTGGAGTAGACAAAGATTTCCTTAACAAGACATAAATTCACAGAGGGGGAAAATGTTATATTAAGCTTCAATAAAATTAGGAACTGTTAACCAAAAACACTAATATTAAGAGAGTGAAAAGGCATGTAATAATACACTGGGAGAAGTTACTCATAATACATAGACTTGTCTAGAGTACAAAAAAAAATCCTGCAAATCAGTAAGAAAAAGTTCAACCAAAAATGAGTCAAGCTCTGGGCTGGTAGCTCAGTTGGTTAGAGCATCTTCCCTGTACTCCAAGGTCGCAGGTTTGAACCCTGGTCGGCGCAGACGAGAATCCACTGATGAATGCACAAATAAGTGGAGCAACAAATAGATGTCTCTCTCTCTCTCTAATTTAAAAAAAAAAAAAAGATGTTAAAAACAGATAAAACACTTGAACAGGAGTTTCACTAAAGAGGATATTCATATAGTTTACAAAACGAATGAAGGCGCTAATATCATTACTAGGGAGATGAAATTAAAACCATAATGAGATACCACTGTACACTTGCTAGAATTGCTAAAATTTAGAAATACTGGTAGTACCTAGTATTGGTGATGATATGGAACAACTGAACTTTTTTTTTAAGGTTTTATTTTATTTATTTTTTGAGAGAGGGAAAGGGAAGGAGAGAGGGAGAGAAACATCAGTGTGTGGTTGCCTCTCACATGCCCCCAACTGGTGACCTGGCCCACAACCCAGGCACATGCCCTGACTGGGAATCAAACCAGTGACCTTTTGGTTTGTAGGCTGGCACTCAATCCACTGAGCCACACCAGCCAGGGCATGGAACTCTTGCATATAGTTAATTATCAGTAGGGTTATAAATAGATAAAACCTGTTTAGAAAACTCTTTAACATACTTACTAGTTATACAGGCTTATTATATCAGTTATCAGTTGCTGCTTAACAAACCGCTCCAAAAAATATGTATTATTTCTCAAAGTTCTTTGGGTTGATTGTTGGCTCTTGATACTCTCATTCAGTTATGCATCTGTGGTCAGCAGGCATTTGGCAGGGCTTGTAATCTGCGATGGTCTCATACATAGATGGGGACCTCAGTTGACACAGCTGGGCCTTTCCATGGGTCTTTTATCCCAAGGTTGTAAAGGTCAAGACTTCTTGAAAGCTAGAAGTTACATTAAATCCCTTCCATCACATTCTATTCATCAAAACAAGCCATGTGATTAAGTGCAGAATCAACCAGGGAGAGGGTTATTCAAGAGCAGCAGAAGTGCCAGGCCATGTGAATCATTGGGGGTGGGGGTCAGCTCTTAGGGTAGTGATCTATCGTACTTACCTGACGGTGTAGCAGTTTTGCTCCTAAGTGTATGCCCTGCAGAAACAAGGGCCTCAGTAAGCCCAAGTTCACATACAAGATTGTTCAATAGCAGCTTTATTCTTAATAGCACCTAACTGGAAGTAACTGAATGTCCACCAATAGGAGAATGGAGAAATGCATTTTGGTATACTCATACAATAAAACACTACACAATTAAAATGAAAAGGACTGACTGACTACTGAATCATGTTGTAACATAGATGAATCTCACAAATTTTGACCCCCCAAAAGATGATGTACTTACTTTCATTTATATGAAGATTAGTAATATGCAAAACTAATTAATGGTGATAGAAAAATCAGAGCAGTGATTACTTCTGGCTTGGAAAAGGGAAGTATGTACTAGAAGCAGCATGGCATGGTTTTCTAGGAGCTGGAAGTGTTCTGTTTTAGTCTGGTGTGGTTATGTGGGTTTAAACATATGTGAGAATTCAACCAGCTGTGCACACTTTAAGGTTTGTAGGTTATGACTCAGCTTTCTAAAGTTAAAAAATGAAAAATGAAGCTTAAGCTGTGGCATCCTGATGACCTAGGTTGAAATCTCAGCTCTGCCACTCAGTAGCCCTGAGACTTGGGGGCACATCCGAGCCTCAGTTTTCCTCATTTGGTTGGGTTGTGAGGCTGAAATGCAAAATTTTTATGCAGCTGAGTGACATCTGGAGATACAATACTGAATAAGACAGACATTTTGCCTGTTCTCACAAAGGTAATGCTTTTACAGAGAAGATTTCCAAGTGTAAAATCTCGATGATTTTATGTCCTGTACTACTTTTTATTGAAGTATAACTGACACATGTAAATTACAACTGTAAGTTAACATTTGTCACCATACGTAGTGGCAGGTTTTTTTTAAGTGTTGAAACTTTTAAGATCTACTCTCTTAGCAGCTTTCAAATGTGTGAGACAGTATTAACTGTAGTCACTGTGTGTGCTGTTTTCATTTTTAGAATGCTTGTATGTCTAAATCTGTCAGAATACCTAGTAGTTTGAGCTGTGTAAAAGTGTCATTTTGTTTATGTCAGAAATGTTTGAACCTAATATATCTGTGGAAAATCTTTTTTCCATTTTAAAGATTTTGGTAGGTGGAAAGCATGTTTACCTTCACAGCGGTTTTCATATGCATAAGACCTGTGACTATACCAGTGCCCAAGTGCCGACAGTTCTTGTCTGCAGCACAGCTGAGGGGAAGTTCCCCGCGTGCTCCCGTCAGCACTGCAGGGGCTTCGGGAGTGGGGTGGTGTTGGGCTGCGCTGGAATTGGAAACCGCATGTACTGCGTTTTGCCATGTATAATGTGCACCCTCGTTTTTGGCCCAAACTTTCAGGAAAAAAATCTTCCGTTTTAATTTTTTCATTCAATTATTTACTTATTTATATTTAGATACTTGTTTTTTTAATTATAAAGGAATTTTAGCATTTATTTTTGAACATATTATGGTACAAAAAATTCTACGTAACAAATAATTACAAAACACAAGAACAGATACAAGGTATTTCAGGTACTACCCATGTACAATGTGCACCCTTGTTTTTCCCTCAGAAATCTGGGCAAAAAATGCACATTATATGTGGCAAAATACAGTACTTCTAGAAGTCTTCCCAGTGGTCTCCCTTGATAATATAAATAAAAGGAAGAGGAGGAAAATGATGGGAACATTTTTTTCCTTCTGAGCTATACTTTTGCTTTTAAAAGTCCCATTTGACTTAAATGATACAGTGTTATGTAATAATGGAAATGACAGTTAACTAATGGAATTTCTTACTATGGTGTTTCTATTTAGGAGCAGACATTAAAGACAAATTGAAGTGTTACGACTTTGATGTACATACAATGAAGACTCTAAAAAACATTATTTCACCTCCGTGGGATTTCAGGGAATTTGAAGTAGAAAAACAGACTGCAGAAGAAACAGGGCTTACACCACTGGAAACCTCAAGGAAAACTCCAGACTCCAGACCTTCTTTGGAAGAAACCTTTGAAATCGAAATGAACGAAAGTGACATGATGTTAGAGACATCTATGTCAGACCACAGTACGTGATTCCCAAATGAGCCCCGATTTTGTTTTGTCCTCGAGTAGAGTAGGTCAGTGTTCCTCACATTCTTGTCATGTCTTAAGATTTTCCCGTTTTTTCACATGAATCCAGACTATACCTCTGCATTTAGGAACGGAGAGCTGCCTTAAGAGACTGAACAAACAGCACACCTTTGCAACAGGTATTTTCTGATCCTTCAAAATAGTTACGCGTAGTGGAATAAAGAAGGTAAAGCATCTGTTCTGTGTTTTCTCTTTTTCTGTAGATGTATCTTGGACTGCTTTTTCATTACGGAAAACCTGCAGAGCTTCTGTATACCCCTCACTTGTTCCCTCTGTCGTTAACATCTTGCGTCACCATGAGACCTTTGTCATAACTAAGATACCCACGTTTTTATGTTACTAGCAACTAAACTCCAGACTTCATTCGGATTTCACTGGTTTTTGCATTGTTGTCCTGCTTCTGCCCCAGTTGCCCATCCAGGGCCCACGCTGCACTTAGCTGTCCTGTCTCGTCACACTTCTCGTGGCTGAGACAGTCTCTCAGACTTCTGTTGTCTCTCCTGACGTGGACGGTTTTGAAGAAGACTGGCCTGTTTAGTAGAATATCCCTCAGTTTGAGTTTGTATCTCATATGTCTCATGATTTGACTGGAGTCATGATTACTGGGTTTAGGGGAGAAAATATCACAGGTATGAAGGACCTTTCTCATCACATCATGTCACAGTAGTTACACAGTAACAACTTACTACAGATGGTGTTAACCATGACCGTTTGGTCATGATGGGGCCTGCCGAGTTTCTCCACTGTAAAGGGACTGTGCTTTCCCTGACCATACTGGAATTTTCAGAAGCAGTCACTAAGTCCATGCGACCCTAAGTGGGACCAGAGCGATTAAGGTCCACAGCCTGGAAGAGGGTATATCGGCACATATTATTTGAAATTCTTCTGTGATTAAAATTTGTCTCTTCTCTCTCATTTTTCAGTCATTTAGTATTATGGACTTATGTGTATGTTTTATATTTTAGGTTATAAATCCTATGCAATATTATTCATTGCATGGCTTTAATTATTTTAGCTTTGGCCATTGGGAGCTCTTTCAGCTAGGCTCTTGTGAGATGCCCAGTCCATTTTTTTGTTTTGTTTTCTTTTCTATGGTAAGTATACACGCCTGCCCATACCAGTTCAATATGGGATGTGGGAGAAGTGGGAAGGCAGACGGTATATAGGAACTTTGTGCTTTCTGTTCATTTTTCTGTAAACCTACACTGCTCTAAGAAATACAGTGTGAGTACATGTGGATATAGACAAGTAGACCTTTTAAACATTTTCAGTTATGCAGTTCAGTGGCATTTATTTCCAGTGCTTTTTCATCACCCCAAACAGAAACATTGTACTCACTAAGCAGTAGCTCTGTACTCATCCCTCCTCCCAGCCCCTTGTGAATTCTAATCTACTTTCTGTTCCTCTGAATTTACCCATTCTAGGTAATTTCGTATAGGCGGGATCATGCAATATTTGTCCTTTTGTGTCTAGTTTATTTTACTTAGCATAATATTTTAAAGGTTTATCCAAGTCTTAGCTTCTAGTAGAACTTTCTTTTTATGGCCCTGGTTGGTGTGGCTCAGTTGGTTGGAGTGTCATCCCATAGACTGAAAGGTCACAGATTCAGTTCCCACTCAGGGAACATACTCAGGTTGTGGGTTTGATCTGCAGTCGGGGGGTGTATGAGAAGGCAGTCGATTGATGTTTCTCTCACTCTCATCCCTTCACCCTTCCTCTTTCTCAAAAACAATGAAAAAATGTCCTCAGGTTAGGATAATACAAAAAAATTTTTTAAATTCCTTTTTATGACTGAATAATATTCCATTCCTACTAGGTAGGTGTGGTATCACTAATTGGGTTAATTTATCTTTTCAAATAATTAGTGATGTTGAGCATCTAATCCCTGTGCTTATTGGTCATTTGTATATCTTCTTTGGAGAAATGTCTGTTTGGGTCCTTTGTTCATTGTAAAATTGGATTGTTTATTTTTTGTTGAATTGTAGGTGTTCATCATAGACTTCAGATATTAAACCCTTATCAAATATGTGATTTACATATATTTCTCTCTTCATGTCGTCTTTTCACGCTCGTGATTGTGCTCTTTGGTACACGAAGGTTTTTAATTCAATGAAGTCTAATTATATTTTTTTCTTGTTGACTGTGCTTTGGTGTCATGTTTAAGAAACTGTTGCCAAATCCAAGGTTATACACATTTTCACTTAAGTTTTCCTTTAGGATTTTAATAGTTTTAGCTCTTAAATTTAAGGACTTTGATCCATTTTAAGTTAATTTTTGCAAATGTTATAAGTTAAGGATCAAACTTCATTCTTTTGCACAAGGAGGTTGCTTTCCCAGCTCCATTTCCTTGTCGATCTCCCTACTTACTCCACCTGTGATTGAGAGAGGGTGTTAAAGTTTTCAGCTACTGTTGTAAAACTATCTATTTCTCCATTCAGTTCCATCCATTTTTTGCTTCATAAATTTTGGGGTTCTCTCCATGGAAACATAGATGTTTATGCTTGTGATAGCTGCTTGACCAGTTGACCCTTTTATCTGTATATGATGTCCTTTTTGGCCCATTTAGTAGTTTTGACTTTTTAAATTTGATGATTAGTAAAGCTAGCCACACTCTTTGTTACCATTTACATGGAATGTTTATTCTATCACTTTGCATTCAACCTCTTTGTGTCTAAAGCAAGTCTTTCCACATAGCATACAAGTGGATCATATTTTTATTAACTGGAAAATGTAATGCATTTACATTTAAAGTAATTACTGCTAAGGAAAGACCTACTTCTGCAGTTTAGCTATTAGCTCTTTATAGGTATTGCATGTTTTTTGTTCCTCAGCTCCCCTTTTACTGCATTATTTTGCATTTAGTTAATTTTGTATGTGTGCTGTGCCATTTTAATACTCTGCATTTTAGTTTATGTCTTCATGGCTACCTTGAGGATTACAATTTACACCTTAAACTTATGACAACCTAGTTGTAGTAATTCCAGTTAGGTGTTTTTCTTGTTTTTAATCCTCACCCAAAGACACATTAGAGAGAGGGGAAAGGTGGGGAAAAGAGAGGAAGAAAAACATTGATGTCACAGAGAAACATCAATTGGTTGCCTTTCGTACACGCCCCAGCTGGGGACCGCACCCACAACCTAGGCATGTGCCCTGACCAGGAATTGACTCCGCTGCCTTTCAGTTTACTGGATGACACTCCAACCAACTACACCACACCGAACAGGGCTCAATTTAGTTTAATAGTGTAGAAACTGATGCCATACACCTGTACCCTCTTCCTTTAATATTGTTATTGTCACAAATTCCATTTTTTTTCATTGTGTTCCCACTAACATTGTTTTATAATTACTTTTTTACTCATTTGAATTTGAAATCATGTAGGAAAAGAGGAGTTACAACCAAAAATACACCAATACTGGCTTTCATATTTACTGTGTAGTTATCTGTACAATTGTTCTTTATTTCTTTATATTATTTCAAGTTACTGTTCGACACCTTTTCATTTCAGCCTCAAGGGCTCTCTTTGACATTTGTCATAGGGCGCGTCTGCCAGTAACAGACTTCCTTATTGACTTCTGTTTATTGAGAGAGTTTAAATTTCTCCCTAATTCTTGGAGGATAGTTGTACCAGATATGAATTGTTGGTTGGCAGTGTTTTCTTTCAGAGCTTTAACTATGTGCTCCCACTGCCTCTGACATCCATTGTTTCTGGTGAAAAACCAACTCTGAATTATGTTGAGACTCACCTGTACCTGACAAGTAGCTTCTCTTGCTACTTTAAAGATCTGTCTTTGTCTTTTGACCATTTAACTCTAGTGTACCTCGGCGTGAATCTGTTCAAGTTTATATTGCTTGGAGTTTTATAGATGTGTAGATTCATGTCTTTCATCAGACTTGGGGATTTCTAGTCATTATTTCTTCAAATATTATTTTCTGTCACTTTCTCTTCTTAAATTACTGTAATGCATATTTTGGAATGTTTGGTGATTTGCCATGGGTCTTTTAGGTTTTGTTCATTTTTCTTTATTCTATTTTTCACAGAGTTTTTTCTGTTTGCCTAAATCTGTTGTTTATCTCCTCTAGTAAATTCTTTTAGCTACCATACTGTTTAGTTCCAGAATTTCTATTTGGTTCCTTTTTACAATTTCCATCCTTTTATTGATATTTTCTGTCATTGTTCACCCATCATTCTTCTAACTCCTTTAGTTCATTATCCATGGATCTTTCAGCCTTTTTGAGCATATTTGATAGAGATGATTAACATCTTTGATTAATAATTTCAATACCTGAGCTTTCTCTGAGATAATTTCTGTCAATTATTTTTTCCTGTGAAAGGGCCATATTTTCCAGTTTATTTGTATGCTTTATAGTTTTTTTGAGAATATATTTTGAGTATCACAGTATGACGACTCTGGAATTCAGATTTTACCCTCTGTAGGAGCTGGTTTTGTTATTTGTTGAGGGCTTCTGTTGTCCATTTGTCTAGCGAGTATTCAAAAGTCTGTATTCCTTGCTGTGTGCAGTTACTGAAGTTCCTGTTCTGTTGTCTCTCTAGTCAGCCTGTGACTGACAGATTTTTTTAATGTCTGAATCTTAAAAAAAAAAAGTATGTGTCTAAATTTTCTGATTGATGCTGCCAGGGAAATTGCTGCAGCCTTAGGGGGTCAGAGCAAGATCAGATCGAGTCAAGCATTTATGCTGATCCCTTGGAGCTGAGAGGCAGGCGTACGTACAACTCCTGATTCTTAGAGGACAGTCTCCCTTCTGTCAGCCTTTGGACCAGGCTCTTCTCCCACGGCAGGGAATAGTTGGTGGTTCCTCTCCACGAAGGACCGTTATCAAACAGCCAGGGTTTTGTTCTGTTTTGTTTGTCATGAAGTATTCCCCTGGTGCCCATTGTACCTGCCTGATCAGCTTCCAAAAATTAATTCTGATGATTTTTTTTCATCTGAATGGCTTTGGTGGAGGGATTGGCCCCTGTAGCTTCCTTCTCTGCCACTTTCTGTGATGTCACTGCTGTGTCTTAAAACTGTAGCTAGATTTTTTTCCTATTACTGTGATAAATGTTGGGAGTCACATAAAATTATCTACAGTATATACCAAAATTAATTAAAACACTCAAAGATCATAATTGTATTTAAGCTAATAAATTCAACTAACTAGTAAGCACATTTTGTGACACTTTTAAAAAGCCAAAAGAATTGAACAAATTTTGTCACTAACTTACAATTTTGTTTTACAAAATAAATGTGATCTACTGTTATCTAAATGTTTACATCCTTGTGTGTAGGACTTGAGATGAGTTTTACCTACTTTCTCACATACTAACCTGATGATATTCCTTTTAACTGTTGCTAAATGTTGTAAGCTCTCTTGACTTGTTTTTATTCAGTCATTTCAGCAGCATTTGCACTTGTCTCACACAGGGATGAGATTGAAAACTGAATTGATGTGAAGTAAGTAGGTGATCAGTAAAGACATGTAATTTTTAATACGTCATAGCTAGGTAATGAGTAAAAGCATCTGGAATCAGCTATGGTAGAGCTGATTGAAATGATATGCTGCATTTATTGGTGTGAAGAAAGAAAAGTTCTCATTCAGTTTTACACATTGTCAAGTGATTTATTTTGTGAAAGATGTTAAAATTTTTCTCTTTAGAAAATTTATACTCTTCAAAGTTTATATAAAAAATTTACTAAGTCTCTAATCTTTAAATATTTTCTTACCTCTTCACTGAAATCAGCACAAGACAAGATCTTACTGTGATTTCATGGGTGATACCTGCAATAAGCAAACATCACTTTCATTAGTCATTTTAATAAAGATGTATGCTTCATTTACAGAAATTCTTTCAAGTTCTCATCCTGACTCGCTCATGAATATTCTAGTTTTTCATAAAAAATTCTGTATTCCAAGACATTTATTCACAGCTTCATTAACAAATAAGATATTGCACAGAAATGAATTTTTCAGGCACCTGAAATGCTCCTTAAACACCAAAACTTATTAACCTAAAATGCATTCCAGATGGTTCCACCTATTTTTTTTTTTTTTTTTTAGTTAGGAAGAGAGGGAGAGAAACATCAATGTGTGATTGCCTCTTGCAAGCCCCCTACTGGGGACCCGGCCCACAGCTGAGGCATGTGCCTTAGAGTGGGAATCAAACCCACAACCCTTTGGTTCGCAGGGCAGCACTAAATCCATTGAGCCACACCAGCCAGGGCTCTACCTTCTTAATGTAGAAATACAGTAGCTAAGGTAGAAAAAAATGTATACACCAGTAATATACAAGGCAGAAAAATACTAGCTCTTATTTTGTGAGGCTCCCACTAGTAATGCTGTCTACCGATGAGGAATCAGCACTGCCAATGAGGCATCCATCTCCCAATCTCTGGCTCAGCTCATCACCGAGAATGTCAGTTTCATGTAATGAGGCGCTTAGATACCATGACCTACCAGTATTTAGACTCAAGTAGTATGTTATGAGTTTTATTTTTCTTTTAAATGGCTTTTCTATCTCTTTGTCATTTTTTTATTCTTACCTAAGGGCATGCTTATTGATTTTAGACAGTGGGGAAGGGAAGGAGAGAGAAAGAAAAGCATTGATGTAAAAGAGAATCATTGATTGGTTGCCTCCTGCACATACCCTGACGAGGGACCCAACCTGCCCCCTAGTTATGTGCCCTGCCTGGATTCAAACCTGTGACCTTCTGGTTCATGGGAAAATACTCCAACCAGCTAAGCCACACCAGCCAAGATATATGTGTCTCTTTTTATGCCTCCCCTTCTCTTTAGCTGGGGCTAGAAATTCAAATGACTAAACTTAAAATTTCATTTTAAAAATAAAAAGGAATATATCTTTTTAACATTTATTTTGCCCACCAGATCAAGATATTTCTTCATTTATCATCTATGATGTTTTTAGGTTTCTGGAAAGCAAACTCCTGACAGTGAGCCATTACCTTACAGAC